AATCACTTAGTCTTGTGTTCCACGCAAAGGAAGGATACTTTTTAGAGCATCCTGGCCATCTGATCCCCTTCCAGGAAAGTCATTCCTTCCTTTGCAAGACACTGTAGGGAGGAAGCCTTTTAATTTCCCTTAGTCTGGTCTCTTGTATAATGGCAGAGCACGTTTGCCCTGGTAAATTTCTGAGCAGTGTTACGGTACAAGATTGTTGTCTACCTGACCCACTCCCTCCAGAAAGATAGGCTAACTGTGGCAGAAGATGGGATTACCATGGAAGATACATTAAGAATCACTGGGATAGCAAAAGTGTAAGGGTTTTAAAGCCAAGGAAACCTAAGCTTGCATCCTAGTTCTGCCATTTCACAATGAAAAAAAAAAAATCACACTCAAGGTAATCTGGCTGACCCGCAAGTTGGTTAACCTCATTTTTTCATTGTAACATAGACCTAATTAGTACCTACCTTGTATGGTTATTTTGAAAGTTAGAGATAAAAATGCCTGGTGTGGGCCGGCCCGGTGGCGCACTGGAGAGTGCGTCGCTTGGGAGCGTGGCAGCGCTCCCGCCGAGGGTTCGGATCCTATGTGGAGACCGGTTCCCGCTCACTGGCTGAGCGTGGTGCGGGCGCAACACCGAGGGTTGCAATCCTTTTGCCGGTCCCCGGTACGGGCGCGACACCAAGGGTTGCGATCCCGTTACTGGTCAGTAAAAAAGACAAAAAGGAAAAAAAAATGCCTGGTGCATATAAAGTGGTCAGTAAATTGCTGCTGTAGTAATTATTATTATTATTTATTATACACATTCATTCAACAAATACGTGTTGAACACCTATTACGTCCCATATGCCAGACACTGTTCTAGGTGCTGGGTTAAACTAGTGACTAAGACAAGGTTCTTGCTCTTGTGGAACTTCTTTTTTAGTAGGTAAGATGGACAATAAGAAACAGGGATTTCGGATAATGATTAGTGCAATGAAGGACACAAAACAGGATGAATGTAGTAGAGAACTGGGGGTGGGGGATAGCTATTTTATAGATGTTTTCCAGAGAAGCTGGTGATATTTTAGTAAGAGATCTGAACGATGAGAAAAGAAAGAGCCTGCGATGAAACAGTAGGGAGTTGGGGAAGGAATTAAAAATTAAGTTCAAGGACTGGTAAGTGGCAAGGCGGAAGATAGCTTGGCTTGTGAAAGGAAAGAGGAGCGATGTAGGGGGAGAACCATAGGGTAAGGGCGAGGCAGGAGAGGTCAGTTCACATGGGGCCTTGTAAACAGGCCATAGTAAGGAGTTCAGATTTTATTCTAATGGGAGGGCATTAGAGGGTTTAATCGCAGGAGTGATAGGAAATAATTTATGTTTTAGAAAGGCTGCTGATTGGAAGCAGGGAATCAGGTTAGTAGACCATAACAGTAGCTCTCTTGAGCTGATGGTGGCCTGGATTATGACTGTGGGACTGAAGATGGTAAGGTGTAAAGAACTTCATTGGCAGCACGTGCAGATAAATTACACATGAGAATGAGGAAGTGAGGAGGAGGCATTCAAGGGTAACTGCTAAGATTTTGTCCTGAGTAACTGGGCAGATGGTGGTGGGCTGCAAGACTGGCTTGCCTTTCCCGAGATAGGAAAGACTACGGGACTGGCAGAGTAGATTTCATACCAGGAGGGAATTGGGACATGCTAAGTTTGAGATTGCTGTCAGACATCCAAGTTTAAAGCCAGTGTAACCAAAACTCCCACATTTTCTAGATTTATACTTGTTCTCTTTTGTTGTTGTTGCAACTTTTTTTTTTCTTTTATCTCACCCAAACTTGGAAAATCAGAATCATTGTATCTTAAAGTTGTGATGTAGGACTCCCTTGGCAGATGAGTGGTAAATATGGGGACATTAAAAACAGTGTTGTGAGGGCCGGCCCGGTGGCGCACTGCTACAGTGCGCCACTTGGGAGCGCAGAGGCGCTCCCGCCGAGGGTTTGGGTCCCACATACAGACCGGCCCCTCACTGGCTGAGCGAGGTGCGGGGGCAACACCGAGGGTTGCGATCCTGTTGCCGGTCCCGGTCCGGTACGGGCGCGACACTGAGGGTTGCGATCCGTTGCCGGTCACAAAAAAAGAGACAAAAAGGAAAAAAAAAAAAAAAAAGTTGCAACAACAACAAAAGAGAACAAGTATAAATCTAGAAAATGTGGGAGTTTTGGTTACACT